TCCAAGAAGAAAAAACAGGAGTCATCTACAAGATACAGTGTAAGAACTGTAACAGCCACTATGTAGGACAGACAGGCAGAAGACCAGCAGAGTGCATCCATGAACACCAGCTAGCAGTCAGTAGACATGATGAAAACTCCTTAATCTCACAATACATGGACAGACTCAACTATAGTTTCCACAGGGAAATTGTGAGCATCCTAGACCAAGCTAAATCCAAAAATGCTAGGGAATTCCTGGAAGCTTGGTATTCAGAGAAATAAGCCATCAATAGACACGTACAGATAAACCACATTTATACACCAGTCAAAAGAGACAATAAAAAGCTAAGAAGAAAACAAGAAGACCAGAACACATCCTTTCCAGCAGCCAACACCCAGATAACAGCAGACAAACAAGCAGAAAACAATACCCTAATCAAGGACCTACCAAAGAGAACCCCCCCCCCCGCAACACTGGCAGGGCAAGCTACTGTATATAAACAAGGGGCAAACCCTGCACTCGCTAGCACTGATGGTGATACCTAGTCAGGTTATGAAACGTCTGCAAGCAAACAACCAAGCTCGGAGAGCACCAAGGACTCCACAGTTCACCTGTGAGCTACAGATATTCTCTTCTTTAGAAACGTATCCATGAAGGGAATGGCAGGCAGCCTAAAACAGCTGTTGGCTCCAGTCAACTCCAGTCAACATAATCAGTGGTCAAAGATGACAGGAATTCAAATCCAACAACATCTGAAGAACTGCAGGTGATCCTTTCAGTAATGCTTATAAAGTGAATGGTAAGCAAATATGTTGTAAAGAGCTCCAGTCTGAAAACTGCCCTTTAGTTCTGTTTTTTCCTTCTGCTCTGGGACCTGGGGAACACTCTCATACTGTAGTAGCTGATTATACATGCTGTAATCCCTCCATTTCAGTTGAAGTGGTTTTCAAATTATATTGGAAGCAAACCACTTCCTCAAAGACCTTCTTTGGGGTAGATCAATAATCGTAGACAAGATTCTTTGACAACCAGGTTGCCTACCACCAGCAGTCTGCCTTTGAAATAGGTGCTCTCAGGGGAATACTTGCTGCATTCTAGGGTTCAATTTTTGAACATCTGTGACAGATGGTATTGTGATTAGAATTTAAATGTGTTTAGAGAACATGTTGAATATTTTGGTTGTATAAAGACCATCTGATCGACTTTGAGCTCTGGAACAAGAGCTTTATATGTCACCCAATCTGTTCCAGGATGCCTTGGGTATAATCAGAAGTACTTATACCTTTTTTTTTTTTTACATTAGAATGAAAACAAATTTGTGGGACTGTTAAATTATCATAAGACAATTAAGTGGGGACACATATTGCAGAAATCTATGTAGGAGTTTTCAAACTATTCTCTTGGAATTGAATTGTTTAAAGGGTTTGTAAATATTTTCCTCACCAAAATAGGATGAAATCTTGTGGGTCTGTCTCTCCTCAGTTGCATCTACTCTTCCTGTTAGACCCAGCAGGAAAGGCATGCTTTGCGTTGCATCTATTAGGGAGTGTCATCTGGCAGGACCCAGGAAGATAGCCTTTTCTGTTGAGGCACACCCCCCGCCCCCAGGACATCATTCCCCTGGAAATTAGACTCACCCCATCCCTGTTGGCTTTTTGTAAGACCTTGAAAACCTGGCTTTCAGGGCCTTAATCTCACAACACACAGACATTCAACCATAGTTTCAACTGGGAAATTGTGAGCATCCTAGACCAAGCTATCCAAAAATGCTAGGGAATTAGTTGTTGAGTATGTTGTTGAGTCCATATCATGGTTATGTTAATTGTGTTGGTTGCTGTATATGTTATTTATTATTTTGTTATGTTTTAATCTTGTTTTTATTCAGTGTTAGCTGTCCAGAGTCATGTATTTAAGATGGGCAGCCATATAAATTGATTGATTGAATGAATGAATAAATAAAAAGGTAGACAGTTTTTATGAATAGCATTCATAGAAATTGGATTAGAGGTTTTCAAACAGTTCTTTTAAGATCCATTTTTTTAAAAAAAAAACCATTACTTTGGGAGGAACAGAAAGGAATAACACTTGCAGCAAAGACAGCTTTCAGTAAGGAATAGCTAGGGCAAATTTCAGACAGGCTGAATTCTTTTGTGTAAAAGGAGGGGGGTGGTCTGATTGCAAATTTCACTCTGATTTGCTGTGATCATTCATCAAAATGATAAAGATGTGAGAAGCGGATGCAGCTGATGTAGTATTATCCTTTACAATATGAACTCCAGAGACAGAGCTCCAGGGAAATGTAGGAAACCAGATCTTCACAGAGGGTGTAGATTTGGGAGACTTAGATCTATTTGCTCAAAGAACAGGTGGCAGCTGTGGTCAAGAAGGCCTTTGCACAGGTCCATTTCCCCATGCTGGCTGGGAAATTTTGGGAGGTGGAGTCCACACATCTGAAAGTTGCCAGGGTTGAGAAACACTGTACTAAGCTGTTTAAAGCAACATGTGAGAGGGGAATAGGACTAACCTAAATTGTAACGTGGGGGCTATCTAACTTGTAAAAGTAATACTGGGAACAGGACTATGGTAAGGCTGTCTCACTTCAAAGTTACAGTACTGGTATCATTTAGCCTTGACATCCACGTTTGCATTTCAG